TGATGTGATGTGATGTGATGTGATTGAGATTTTTAGTCTCGCATTAGGATAGGGTGACTGGGCAGAGTAGTCAAATTTTATGTAGAAATTCTTCTGTAACAGTATGTCTGGGCCAACATTTTGTCACTCAAATGTTTGTGAAGATTTGGAATTCTTTATCCTGGAGAATTTTATATACTCCATCGCTAAACGTATTTACGGCTAGGTTGACTAATCTTTCAGGTCTCACGGAATCTAGGGATCTGAGGAGCAAATGGAGAAAGGGGACAGTCAGTCCAAAGATTGTGTGTTTTGTCATTTACTTTTTGGGAAAAATGTTGAAGGTGTGGTGGTGTGTTGCCTTCTCAAACTGCTGTAGTCCTCTGTAGACACCCAGAATGCTGCTAAGGAAGGCATTCCAGGATGCTGACCCAGCAACAATGAAGGAGCGTCGATATATTTCCAAGTCAGGATAGGAAGTGACTTGGAGGGGAACTTGCAGGTGGTGGTGTTCCCATGTATCTGCAGCCCCTGTCCTTCCAGGTAGAAGTGGTCATGGGTTTGGAAGGTGCTGTCTGAGAATCTGTGGTGAATTTCTGCAGTGCATCTTGTAGACAGTACACACTGCTGCTACTGAGCATCGGTGATGGAGGGAGTGGATGTTTGTGGATGTAGCGCCAATCAAGCGGCTGCTTTGTCCTGGATTGTGTCAAGCTTCTTGAGTGTTGTTGGGGCTGCACCCATCCAGGCAAGTGGAGAGTATTCCATCACACTCCTGACTTGTGCCTTGTAGATGGTGGACAGACTTTGAGGAGTCAGGAGGTGAGTTACTCGCCACAGTATTCCCAGCTTCTGGCCTGCTCTTGTAGCCACTGTGTTTATGTGGTGAGTCCATTTCAGTTTCTGGTAAACTCCAGGCTGTTGATAGTGGGGGATTCAGTGATTGAATGTTAAGGGATGATAGTTAGACTCAAACTTGCTGGAGATGGTCATGCCCTAGCAGTTGTGGTGCGCTCTCCTTATTTTGACACATGCCCCCAGATGTTGGTGAGGAGGACTTTCCTAGGTTGACAAAACTGGTTGTGCCTTTGTTGTTTCTGGTGCTGAGGTTGATTCATCTGGTTTTGTATCTTATTTGAATATTTTGGTAAGTGAATTAGTGTAACAGAGTGTCTTGTTTGGCTATTTCAGAGAGCAGTGAACTGGACAGAGAGTTTCTTTTTCCTAGGTTGAAGATGCAAGAAGTCTTGTGGAAGGATGGTCAGTGATGCAAGAAATGATTGGAGATGGTCTTTTCTCTGATTTGAGACTAGTGAGGACAGTGGAGTGTTCATCAATTTGTGTTATTCAGTTTCTTACAGAGGGATGAACCCTGGACAGAGGTGATTTTGGATGGAGATGAAGGGCTAATGATTAGAGACGCAGGACTGAATCTCCCTCCCTGACTCCTGTGTCTTAAATGCTGTTTTTAAAATGACCTGATCATTCATGATTCTTCAATGTTTGCAGATCTTGAGAAAGCCAAGTTAAAAGCTCAGAAAAACAATGACCTGAGAGAGCAGGCGAATCTCTGTAACAGGCTTGGAGAAGTCCTGGCAAGACATGGTAAGTTCTGCTGAGTGCAGGCGGATTTGCTGCCTCCGTGGTTTGTGGATTCTGAGGGTTTACTCTGTAACTGTCCGTTCCCCTCTCTCCCTACCCCCCACTGCAGATTTCACATAAGTCCCGAAGTCAGCACACTCCTAAACCTGAATTTTAACGCAGAATAAAAACAGAAGTGCAAATACTGGAGATCTGAAATAAAAACAGTTAGTGCTGGAGATTTTCAGCAGAGCCGGTGGGGAAAGAGAGACAAAGTGATGCATGTTGGTTGCAATATTCTGTCTCTCTGTCTTCCCCTCGCCCCCCACCCCCCCCCCCCCCCCTTCACCAAAAAAAAACAGGCAGATTCTGCCAGACCTGCTGAGTTTCTCCAGCACTTTAGTGTTTCTTAAGATTGAAGGCCTCGGGCAGTATACTCCTCTGTTGCCCAGTGATTTTTTTTTTGTGCGGGGGTGTGGGTACAGTCTCTGGAGAGATTGGGAATGTAGACATTGAACCTGTGTCTCTCAGGTTCTGTGCCTAACAGCACGCTGGTGCTGCCGTGTGACTGCACAGTCTGTGTGTGGAGTAGAGACCATCAGTACAGGGTTTATCCACCCAGCTCTTTCTCCGTGGACTATGGATTCTACAATGTTTAATCAATGAAAGGTTTTAAAATGTTTTAATTATTGTGTTTATTCACTGAATTAATTCATCGTTCCTGTCTTGTTGACCGCCTCTCTGCCCCTGCCTCCCCCATCCCCTCTCTGCCCCATCCTGCTGTTGCCCCCCTGCTCCCTCTCCCAACAATTCCCCCTTCCCCCCCGCCCCCACCAGGTGAGTTTGAGGAGGCTATCAGAGAGCACCAGCAGGAGCTGCAGTTGTCAGAGGCGCTCAGTGATGTGATAGGCCGTGCGATTGCTAACAGGAAGATTGGAGAATGCCTGGCTGAGATTGGGAACTACGCAGGTGCCCTGAAGGTAAGGAACAGGGGCCCTTGTACAGCGTGTTGCTGTGCCTGGTGCTTTAGCCCTGCTCTCAGCATCGTATTGTCTGAAAGTAGCCCACACCACCACAGATCAGTCTCTCACTGCCCCACATGAGGAAACATCCTCTCCACGTCAATCCCCTTTATTGTCTTATAGACCTCATTAAATCCCCTCTTGTTCTTCTAGACTCCAGAGAGAATAGACCCAAACAGCTCAGTCTCTCTTCAGAAGACAAACCCCTCATCTCTGGAATCAATCTAGTGACCCTCCTCTGAAATATCTCCAGTATAACTACCTCCGTCCTCAAGTAAAGGGACCAAAACTGTTCACAGTACTCCCAATGCAGTCCCGCTAATGCCTTGTACAATTGCAGCAACTCCTTCCTACTTTTATACTTGTTTTCTTTAACAATAAATGCCAAGCCTCCATTTGCCATCCTGCAGCATCAGCGCAGACACCTTGAACTGGCCCGGTCAGTCAGCAACGACATCGAGGAGCAGCGAGCCTGGGCTACCATTGGTCGAACGTATCTGTACATCTATGAAACGGACCAGTCGCGTGAGTCGCTGAAGGAGGCAGAGAATGCATTTAGGAAAAGCCTGGCCATTGTGGATGAGAGGCTGGAAGGTAGGGATGGAATGGGCGGTAGGTATCGACCTGTTGCTGCTCACTCCCATGCACTGTGTGTATGTTTCAACACAGACAGGCTCTGATTTCCAAAGTGCCTACCACCACCAGCGGATATCCCAAAACCCTTTCCATTGTGGGGAGAGAGGAGGTGGCTGTACATTGTAGTGCACTAACAGTCCAGAGACCCTCAGGCTGATGCTCTGGGATCATGGGCTTAAATCCAACCACAGCAGCTGGTGGATATGAAATTCAATTCGTAAATCTAGGATAGAAAGTCATATCAGTAAATGTGAGTAATGTAACTATTATCGATTTTTTTTTTAACAACAATCTGCTTCACGGATGTCCTTTCAGTGGACGTTTGCCACTGGGCAGCGGAAATCTTTATTATTACAATAATTGTGGGGTCTTCAGTATGCAGATGGTTTGGGAAAAGCAGGTTGGTAATGGATTCCCAAAAAAAATTTTGTGGAAAATTTGTAAATGTTTTTTTTTTTTGGAGCAGCCTGAAAGGCCTCGCTCCTATCCCATTGGCAGCAGCTGGTCCATACCCTCACAGGTTACAGTGCTTCAGGTACAGCCCCTGGTTCTTTTTAAATGAATTGAAAGTTTATACCTCAACCACCAAACTGGGCAGCAAATTCCAGAAACTCTACCTCTCATTCTGGATGAGAAGGTTTTCCTCTTGTCCCTCTAATCTTTCTGCCTGCCACCTTAAATCTGTGCCTCTCCACTAGGGGATACCTGTTTTCCCTGTTCACTCTATCCAAACCCCATATTGTTTTGTACACCTCCATTGTCACCTGTCAGGTTCCTCTGTTCTAACAGCCTGAACCTGTACAATCTTTCCTCTGACCTGAAGTTTTCAAGCCCTGGCACATTGCTGTACATCTGGTGAATTAGCTGAAGTTCTGTAGAGGAGTTATACCCCAAACTTAAAAACGTTAACTCTGTTTCTCTCGCCACATGTACTGCCAGAGCTGTTGAGTTTCTGTAGCATTCTCTGTGTTTGTTTCAGAACTCCAGGATCTTCAGTATTTTTATCCTTGTGAATCTCCTCTGTACTCTCTCCAGAGCAATTATGACCTCCCTGTAATGCATTGACCAGAACTGAGCACAGAACTCCAGCTTTAACCCAATGAGAGCATTTGGTTCGGGCATCACGTCCTGGCTTTTGTGTTCAATACTTCACCCAATGAGGGATAGTATCCTGTGCCACCTTATCTACCTGTCTTGTCACCTTTAGGGGCCTGTGAATGTGCCCTCCAAGGTCTCTCGCTTCCTCCACTTCTCAACACCCATCCTATTATCAGTTGTCACCTTGCTTCATTCCCCCTCCGCAGTAGCTTGTTGGTGGAATCTGTCTGTTTTTCCTACCTCCCAGGTAAGGCTTCCCGCCACGAGTTGAGTGAGATGCGAGCCAGACTCTACCTGAACCTGGGCTTCCTCTACGACAACCTGAAAGAGGCGGATAAATGCAACCACTACATCTGCAAGAGCGTCTTCATCGCTGAGTACGTACTGCCTGTGGGCTAGGGTGCTGTCTAATTTGGAAAGTAGAAGTAAATGATAAAGGAGGAGGTGTTAAGTTGGGTATTTGATTCGCTAAGGGATAGATTGGATAGCTTAGTGGTGAACAAATAGTTTTCCTGTTGAGGGAAGTGTGCTGTGAGATATCCCAGGATTCAATACAGCAATTGCTGCTTTCCTGCTTAAACACAGACTCTGTACTTGGCAATAGGGAGCACGAGCTTGAAGTTTGACAGTGATGTTATTTACTGTGTTGCTGGACAGAAGGACTGACTGAAATTGGCAGATACACTTGAATGGATAAGTATGAAATGACACAATTTGGACAAAACCTGATGGAGAGGCAGAATCGTGTGAATGGTATTAGCTCAGTTGGCTGGATGGCTGGTTTGTGATGCAGTGAAGCCAACAGCGTGAGTTCAGTTCTCGTGCTGGCTGGGGTTACTGAGAAGGACTCTCCTCACCTTGCCTGAGGCATGGTGACCCTAAGCTTAAACTACCACCGGTTCCCCCCACCTCTCTCGCTCGCTCTCTGCCCTATGGTCTGGTAACATAAGGCGGTTTTATCCTTCATTTAATATTTTGAGGGAAATGTAGCGGGCCCTTAGATAAGACAGTTAAAATGTCTGTAGAATACATGCGTTTTAAATAGAGACACTGAGCACATAATTCCTGAAGCTCCTCAGCCCTGGAACCATTTGAGTGAACCTTGGCTGCACTGTTTTCTATGAAGTCTCACTTTTCGAGCCTTTCTGTTTTTCTTGAACCCAATAGCTTTTCTCTATTCAAGTGAATCTCTGCTGTCCCCTCACTTCAACCTCAGTATCCCTCCTAGAATGTCGAGCCCAGAGTTGTAGTGATTTCCAGCAGGTTGTAACTCTGCTCACGAGGGAGATGGAGTTACGGTCACGCTGTTTCCCTGGCCCCCTCGAAGTGACTTTCATTGATGATATCTCACACTCTTTCCCCCGTCAGGCAGAACCATCTGTACGAGGATCTATACCGAGCTAATTTCAACCTGGGCAGTATCCACTGGCGCAATGGCCAACACTCCAAGTCTGTCCGCTGTCTGGAAGCTGCCAAGGAGTGTGCCAAGAAAATGAATGAAAAGTTTATGGAGAGCGAGTGCTTTAGCAGCATCGGGCAGGTGAGTGAGAGAGGGAAGTGCAGCACCAAGTGCAGGTGCTTCAGCATTGAGCAGCTGAATGAATGAATGCCTCAGCAGAAGGAAAAGCTGGGTGGAGGAAGGGTGTGAGATGGAGAGTGTGCACACTACTGTCCCGGCAGCACAACGCAGATGGTTGGGAATGGAGTGAGTGAGGGAACATCTTTCAGAATTAAACTTGGTCCAAATCGTAATGAAACAAAAGGCCGAGTACAGTAAAAGTCACTGTAAAGCTGTTGGATTTATGAAAACCCAACAAGTTTGCTAATATCCTTTTGGAAATCTGTCCTTATCCAGCAAAGATCTGACTCCAATCTCTCTCCAACAGCGTTGTCTGTTAACTGGACTACTAGGCCTGAGTTATAGGGAGAGGTTGGCCAGGGTAGGACTTTATTCCTTGGAATGTAGGAGAATGAGAGGGTGACCTTATTGAGGTGTATAAAATCATGAGGAGGATAGATAGGATGAATGCATACAGTCTTTTCCCAAGGGATGGGGAATTGAAAACTAGAGGGCGTAGGTTTAAGATGAGAAGGGAAAGATTTAAAAAGGATTTGAGGGCAACAGAGACTGGTGAGTACATGGAATGGGCTGGCAGAGAAAGTGGTTGAGGCAGGTACAATAGCAACATTTAAAAAACATTTGGATATTTACATGGATGGGAAGGGTTTGGAGGGATATGGACCAAATGCAGGCAATTGGAACTAACTGAGTGGGCACCATGGTCAGCATGGACCAGTTTGGGCTGAAGGGCCTGTTTCCATGCTGAATTACTTTATGTCTCTATAAAGAGGAGCCTGTGGGTGTACTGTACTTGGATTTCCAGGGGCCTTTGACAAGGTGCCACATAAATGGTTACGGGTGTAAAATGAGAGCTCCTGGTGTTGGGGAAACATTGGCATTGATAGATTAGCTGCCTGGAAAAACAAAACCAAGAAAATGCATAAATGAGTAATTTTCTGGTTGGCAGGATGTAATGAGTTGGGTCTGTGCTGGAACCACAGTTGTTTATAATTTACATCAATGAGTTGGATATAGCTACATTTACAGATGACACAAAGGTAGTTAGGAAAGTATGTTGTGAACAAGACATAAGGTTTCACTGAGATTGAGTGGGCGGATGAGTATAACACGGGAAAATGTGAAATTGTTCACTTTAAAGAGAAGAATGTAAAGGCAGGGTATTACTGAAACGGAGAATGTCAGCAGACTTTCAAGGTGTAGAGGGATTCTAGTGTGGGAGTCACAAACAGTTAGTTTGCAGGTAACAGAAGTAATTCAGGTGAATGGAATACTGTCCTTTTATTATGAGAGGAATTGGAACGTTACGGATGTTACGCTTCAGTTATACGGGGTATTGGTGAGACCTCATCTCAAATACTGTGTGCAGTCTTGGTCTCCTTATTTAAAGAAGGATGTCACTCCATTGGTGGCAGTTCAGAGGACATTTACTGATTGATACCGCGAATGAACAGGTTGTTTTAATGGTGGAGCAGATTCGATGGGCGGAATGGCTTACTCCCACTCCTAGGTCTTATTATTATGGTTTGATGAGGAAAAGTAGGACAACCTGGGCTTGTTTGTAATAGTGTCTGTTCTATCAACGTAATCTGAAAATAGTTGATAAACTACATCTTGTAAAGTACAAAAAACTCTTCTCTTTAGAGCAGGAAGTGGTTTTGCTCCACCTTGTGAGACTAAGTGGGCCCTGGAGTTTCCTACATTTTAAAGAAGATGATGGTAGCAGCCTTTTTCCTGACCAGTAGATCATAGAGCACAGTGAGCTGGCCTGTCCAGTCCTCATCAGCCACACCCTCGTCCTCCATTAGCCTTGCAGTGTAAAATGGTTTGACCTGCAATCACTCGCCTTGGCGTGGGGCTGCCACCAGATCAATTTGTTCCACCTTCTCATTGGTTTTCTTTATTCTTTCATGGGATGTGGGTGTCACTGGCACTTGTTGCCTGTCCCTAATAGCCTGGCATGCTAGGCCATTGAGAGGCAACCACATTGCTGTGGGTCTGGAGTCACATGTAGGCCAGACCAGGTAGGGATGGCTGTTTCCTTCCCTAAATGGCATTAGTGAGCCAGGTGGGTTTTTTACAACAGTTGACAGTGCACAATTAACTTGCACTAGCTTTTAACTCCAGACTTTTTAACAAATTCAAGTTTCACCGTCCATCATGGTAGGATTTGAACCCATGTCCCCAAACCATTAGCCTGGGATTCTAGTCCAGTGACATTACCACAAAGTCACCACCACCACTGCCTTATGCTGGAAGACACTCTGGCACAGGTTGATACTTAACCTTGCTACTAGTACAGGGGTCCCTGATTTAAGAAAGTCTAATTTTTGAACACTCGTATTTATGAAAGCGACCCTGTACAGGGGTGTAATTTTAAAGACCCCCGATACATGAACATTGCCTGTATTTATGTACGGTGCCTTTGTCCTGCATGTTCCTTGCATCGACTTAAGTACAAATTGCCTTGTGAGCAGACTCCAGAGCGGAAGCTTTTCACAACTGCTAGACTAAAAGATTTTGATTATGTTTTACAATATATTTCAGGCATCATACATTGTCTTCCTCATGTATAAAAGATTGGAGAATTCCGTAATTTGATCAAAGCATTTGAAAGGGTAGATAGTTTCTCTCTATGTCCTCTGGTCAAAGGAGAGTTGCAGACCAGGGCATAATCTTCAAATTAGAGCCAGGCAATTGGGTTTGGAGTGTCAGGCTGAAGGGTCTCTTCATTCGTACGTGTCATCAGTGAGTGCACTGACCTGCTCCGATGGATATCTGTCTCTGCGAGATTCAGTGCTATGCAGGTGCTGAATACGTGTTTGTGAGTGTTAACCCCCACACTGTGCCTCCCAGGTCTTCCTGAACCTCGGAGACTTTGTGGCTGCAAAGCGTTCCCTGAAGAAGGCGTTTACACTGGGATCCCAGCAGCAGGCAGAGCGAGACGCAGTCAGGAGGAACCTCAAAAACGGTGAGTATCTCCCAGAGCAGCCCAGTGGGCTCGAGGAAATGGGAAAGGTCTTTGTGGAAAAGCATCTGACTGACCTCCTGGTGAAAACTCCTCGGATTAGAACAATGAATACCGCGGTTTGCAGATGCTGCCTCACCATCTGAGTGTCTCCAACAGATAAAACCATACAATCTAGAAGCAGTAGACCATTCAGCCCATCAAGTCTGCTCCACCATTCAATGAGATCGTGGCTGACCTGATAATTGTCAACCCCACTTTCCTGCGTTTGCCCTGTAACTCTTGATTCCCTGACTAATTGACAACCCGTCTATCTCAGCCTTGAATATGCTTATCAACCCAACCTTGACAGCCCTCAGCAATAAAGAATTCCACAGATTCATTACCCTCTGAGAGAAGAAATTCCTCCTTATCTCTGTCTGAAATGTTGGGCCCCTTACTCTGAGATGGTGCCCTCTGATCCTAGACACTCTCATGAGGGGAACCAACCTCTCCATGTCTACTCTGTCATAGAATTATAAAATCCCTACAGTGCGGAAGGAGGCCATTTGGCCCATCAAGTCTGCACTGACTCTCCGAAGAGCATCCCACCCAGACCCACCCCCCTGCCCTATCCCCATAACCCTGCATTTCCCATGGCTAATCACCTAGCTTGCACATACCCTGGACACTATGGGCAATTTAGTACGGCCAGCCCACCCAGTCTGTACGTCTTTGGACTGTGGGAGGAAACCGGAGCACCCAGAGGAAACCCATGCAGATTCTGGGAAAACATGCAAACTCTGCACACAAAATAGCCCGAGGCTGGTATCAAACCCAGGTCCCATATCCCTTAAGACCTTTATTTGCTTACCGAGCTGGCTTGTTCTCGTTCAGACGTTTCGTCACCATGTTAGGTGACATCATCAGTGAAGCCTCCGACGAAGCGATGTTATTCCACTCTGCTTGGAATTTATACTGTCTGGTCCGTTATGGTGAGTACTTTCATTTCCGGTTTTGATCTGTTTGGGTTTGTGTATGGGGTCCAATTCTGTGTTTGTTTATTGAAGTATGGGTGGAGAATCATGCCTCTAGGAATTTCCGAGCATGTGTATGATTGGCTTGTGCTACTTATGGTTACCTTGTCCCAGTTAAACTGATGGTCTTCATTGTCTGCGTGCCGTTTTGCTGCTAGCTGATGTTTGCGTATTCTGATAACTAGTTTCCTCCCTGTCTGTCCGATGTAATGTTTGTGGCAGTCAGTGCATGGTATTTTGTAAACCATGTTGGTTCTGCATGTTGTGGGAACGGGGTCTTTAATCCTTGTAAGTGTTTGTCGTAGAGTGGCTGTGGGCTTGTGGGCCACCATTATTCCTAGTGGTCTTGGGAGTCTTGTTGCCAGTTCCGATATGGTCTTGATGTGGGACAGTGTGGCCAGTGTGTTAGGTCATATTGTGTCCTCTTGTTGTTGTCTGTTTTGTAGGCATCTGTGGATGAAGTTGCGGGGATATCCATTTATGGCGAGGATTTTGTATAGGTGCTCTTCCTCTTTCCTGTGTAGTCCCAGGGTGTTGCAATGTGTCATGATCCATTTAAATAGTGCCCTAATAATGCAGCTTTGTTTGTGGGCGTTGGGGTGGTTGCAGTGGAAGTTGAGGATTTGATCAGTGTGAGTTGCTTTTCTGTAAACTGAGGTTTGGAACTCCCTGTTGGTCATACATTCAACCCTGATGTCCAGAAACAGAAGTTGATTGTTGTTTTCTTCTTCCCTTGTGAATTTAATCACTGCGAAAACGACACGACAAACTGTCCTTAACATCAGTAAACTCAGACAATGAAGGCCATCAGTTTAACTGGGACAAGGTAACCATAGTAGCATGCACGGGAATTCCTAGAGGCATGATTCTCCATCCGTAATGCAATCAACAAACATATTCTTTATTCATTCATGGGATGAGGGCATCGCTGGCTCGGCAACATTTATTGCCCATCCCTAATTGCCCAGAGGGCAGTTAAGAGTCAACCACATTGCTGTGGGTCTGGAGACACATGTAGACCAGACCAGGTATAGAATTGGACCCTATATACAAACCCATACAGAACAGAACCGGAAATGACACTACGTACCATAACGGAGCAGACTGTATCAGAGACCAATCAGTGTACAGATATCTCCCTGAGAGACAGCGCATTATGAGACACCAGTCAGTGTACAGTGTACAGACCAATCAGAGATGTTGTGAACTGAGGGATTACAATGTAGATTTGAAACAATGATACCTGGACCTCGGGGGATTAAGTTATGAGGAGAAATTAGGCCTGTTTTCTCTAAATTTATAATGTTAAGGGGTGATCTGATCGAAGTTTCCAAGATATTAACAGGAAAAGTCAGGGTGGATCAAGATAAACTATTTCCACTGATTGGGGATTCTGGAGGGACTGGGGAACATAGTCTGAGAATTAGGGCCGGGGCATTCAGGAGAGATGTTAGGAAGCACATTGAATGGCGGAACAGGCTCGAGAGGCTGAATGGCCTACTTCTATTCCTGTGAGTCAGCAGGTTAATGGTGTGAGCTCACTTCAAACCCATAATGGAGCCTGAGATTCCTGGGTGATACTGAAGGGGGATGCTGTACTGTCTGAATGGGCTATCTTTCAGCCAAAGCCTGATCTGTCCCCTCACATAAAACATCCCATGGCCACTATTTGAAATAGAACGGGAGGTGAAGGGGTGCTTCCCGGTACCCAGGAACACTACATCTCAGCCAACACTGGTAAAAGAGGTGACCTGGCCATTATTAATATGGCATCTTGGTGTGTGTACATCGTTGCAATGTAGGAAAACAGTAGCCAATCATTACACCCCCAAAATACTACTTAGGAGCTCTCAAAACACTTCAGAGCCAGAGGTGAAACCTGTCAGAGAAATCTAAATCTTCCTTCGTTAAACGAGGAGGGATGATGCTGCTGGCCAGGCGTTGGTGTCATATGATCATGAGATTTTATCGCAAATTGAACCATGCACATTTTTAATGATTTAGTCTTTGATCACTCCAGGGTTAGGGATAAAGAAATCTTTTGTTTATTCACTCGTGGGATGTGGGCATCACTGCCTGGGCCCAGCATTTGTTGCCCGTCCCTAATTGCCCCTTGAGAAGGTGGGGGTGAGCTGCCTTCTTGAACCACTGCAGTCCACGTGCTGTGGGTTGACCCTTAGGGAGGTAATCTCTTGGAACACAATCTCGGCAACAGATAAAGTGGTCATCTCTCACGGAGCTGTTTGTTGAAACTTGCTGCACACAAACTGGCTGCTACATTTCCATTTTGGTCTCACTGTGTTGTGCATGTGCTCCTCAGTCTCCAGCTTTGTCTTTCCTTCATCCCTCCACAATAAGGGAGTGGGGTGGGGGGGAGTAAACCAGTTTCTGTCTGAGTGCTCACAGTTGCTGTGTCATTGCTTTCATGAGCAATGCCTGTGTGTGTTCTTTACCAATGCACTCCTCCTCCCCAGCTGTGAAAGGCTGCCGATTGGAAGAAGCTTTATCTGAACTGGCAGACAAGGAGCAACAGCAGCAAGAGTTATTGGGTCTGTGTGAACAGCTTGGGGATCTCTGCTGTAAGGTGGGATCCTACCGCAAGGCCATCGACTACTACGAGATGCAGGTAACTGGGTCCTGGGTACAAAACCTGCTCCCTGACACCCAACAGGGTCCACACACACTTTCACTGCAAGCTAAGCCTCTACTGGTCCTCTACATCCAAAACATTCAGATCGTTAAAACTACAGAAAGCAGCCATTCAGCCCATCATATCTGTGCTAGCTGTGGCAGCTATTGAGTCAGTCGCAGACACCCAGCCTTTTGTCTATTTATCCAGTTGTTAGATTACTTTAATTGCAGAATGGAATAGATACCGAATCAATTTTGGCCTTTTAAAAAGAAAAATACGACGAGTAGAAAAAGAATTAGGAATTAAAAGACTGATACCTGTCATAATATAGATTTTAATTCTTTTTTTTTTCTTTACAACAATTTTTGACATCGCTGGCTGGGCCCAGCATTTATTGCCCATCCCTAGTTGCCCCTTGAGAAGGTGGTGGTGAGCTGCCTTGAGCTGCTGCAGTCCTCCTGCTGTGGGTTGACCCACAATGCCCTGAGGGAGGGAATTCCAGGATTTTGACCCAGTCACAGTGAAGGAACGGCGATTATATTTCCAAGTCAGGGTGGTGAGTGGCTTGGAGGGGAACTTGCAGGGGGTGGTGTTCCCATATGTTTGCTGTCCTTGTCCTTCTAGTGGTCATGGATTTGGAAGGTGCTGTCCATTGAGCCTTGGGTGAATTTAGTTCCACACTGCTACTAGTGATGACAGAGAGTCTGTGCTGAGGGAGCGCTGCAGTGTTGAGTCCAATAATCAATCAGGTCTCTGTAATGTGAGGTGGTGAACTATGGTTGTCTCAAACTATTGACCCCCTTGTTCATTCTGAATTAGCAACATTTGAACATATCATCATTTATTTTGCTTGTATATCTGGGATCCTGCTGTGAAGCCCCATTCGCTGCTGCATTTCTCAATGGCATGACAATGTGTATACTTAAAAACGATCATTGACTTAGTGGCCTTTGGGTGTGAAATGTATCAGTTTTTTTCATGGAGCTTGGCTGGTGCCAGGGTGGGTATGTCCTAGAGCCCACACTTTTCCCCCCTGGGTGGACTGGGGACTAATACTGTGATCTCCAGGTGCGGAGGTGAGGGAACATGGGGGGTAGTGTGGGTTTCCAGTTCAAAAGGACAGTGTGTTCTGGGATTCTCATGTTCACTCTCTCGCTCTCTCTTCCCTCTGGCCAATTCCCCCATCACTCCCCACCCACCCCTCCACTCTCTGCTTCCCCTTTTTCCCAGCTGAAACATGCCAAATTGTTGAGGAGGCCTGATCGGGAGCTGGCTGTCATTCATGTCTCACTGGCAACCACCTTCGCTGACCTGAAGGATTACAGTCAGTCAGTCAAATATTATGAAGCTGAACTGGCACTGCGCAAGGGAAATCCTAAGGAGGTGAGATCACAGGCTGTGCAAGGTTCGTTCTGGTCTTGTTTACCTGACAGTGATCATTAACAATTTGTATTTACATCCATGCGTTCTTAACAAAATAACATGCCATAGTGCTTGATCAGCATTATAAAGCACATTTGTTTGTATGATATGGATGCCACTGGCTCAGCCAGCAATTAATACCCGTCCCCAGTTGCCCTTGAGAAGGTGGGGATGAGCTGCCTTCTTGAACTGCTGCAGTCCACCTGCTGTAGGTAGACCCACGTTGCCCTCCGGGGCAGGGGGAGAGAATTCTAGGATTTTGACCTAGTGACAGTGAAGGAGCAGTGATATATTTCCAAGTCAGGATGGTGAGTGGCTTGGAGGGGAACTTGTTTGACATTGTGCTGTATGAGGACGTTAGATCAGATGACTTAAAGTTTGGTCTGAGGTCACTTTTAAGTAGCATCTTAAATTCACATCTGCAATTAGTCCCACTCCTTCCCCAGAGCCTTTCAAGTAATTTATCCAGTTCAAAAACAGAAGTTGCTGGAAAAGCTCAGCAGATCTGGCAGCATCTGTGAAGAAAAAAAATAGTTAACGGTGACCTGTCACCAGGCCCGAAACGTTAACTCTGTTTTTTCCTTCACAGATGCTGCCAGACCTGCTGAGCTTTTCCAGCAACTTCTGTTTTTGCTCCTGATTTACAGCATCCGCAGTTCTTTTGGTTTTTATTTATCCAGTTCAGTTCACATCGTTTGTGTGTGTGATTGTTTACGAGTCCATGATGCTGCTTCCCCTTAGACAGAGTGACCCCAGTGCAGTTAGTGAAGAGGTGACATTGGGGCTGGGGAGAACCTTCATTCTCCTTCATGAAGCAGGGGGATGCTAGCATTGTAAATGTCTGTGTTTGTTGTAGGAATGTGAGACCTGGCTAAACATGGCATTGGCTAAAGAAGAAGGTGGAGAATCCTTCAGCGAGTTGGAGAAATGTTACCGGAATGCACTGCAGATTGCTGAGCAGGCTGAGCTACCCCGACTGCAGGTAACTCCCAGTGTGGGCTGTTGGACTGGCTGGGGGCTGTTCCTCTTCAGGATGGGGAGAAGAAACCTCCAACCCTATTGTCTTTCCTCCCTCCCTACCTGACACACGTCAACCCTAACACGAGTGGCTCATCGTGAGGTTGGCAGGGTAGGTGGGGAGAAGCTGTGTGTCCCCTGGCTGAAGACTCTGAAACTGGATAAAGCTCCAGAAGAAGAGACCAATGTTTTTGGAGTGAGATGAGAAGGAATTTCTTTGAAGTTCTCTCCCCAGAGGTTTTTGGGAGCTCAGTCATTGAGTTTATCCAAGACTGAAGTTGATAAATTTCTGGGCACCAAGGTTATTGAAGGTTATAGCAGTAGTTCTGGGCAAGCTGGATGTGAGCTAAGAGTTCCACCATGGTCTGACAGGATAGCAGAGCAAGCTCAAGCGGCTGAATGGCCTCCTCTATTGCTTATGGTCTTTTTGGCAGCAGTATTGTAGAACTGGTCACTACAACTTACCCAGCCAGGACTCAATGTGACCTCCCTGCACCTGGGTTTAATCTTAAGCAGTATCTCCCACAACTTGCTTCATTTTACACTGGAATAACAAGGTGTAGAGCTGGATGAACACAGCAGGCCAAGCAGCATTAGAGGAGCAGGAAGGCTGACATTTTGGGCCTAGACCCTTCTTCAGAAATGGGATTTACACTGGGATTAGTTTTCATTTGTGAGGCTGGGTTGATAAATCTGACTTTAATTCCTAACCCAGCTAAGGGCTGTCTGTTCCCATCCACCCAACAATTATTTCTTTCCTTTGGGATCCTGGTTATTTTCCCTATCTTTATTCTCCCCTCTGTTTCCCCACTCAACCAATTCCCACTGTCCCTAAAGCTAGTCACAGGAACACAAAGAGAGGGGAGGCCATTCAGCCATCTGGCCTGTTCTGTCCATCCAGTCAGATGCTGGGTGATGGCTATGGCTTAGTGTTCCTTGACAATCCACTCCAATGAGAATCAATTGGTTGCTCTCAGCCTTAGTGACCGAGCTCCCCAGCCACAGTCATGGCCCACAGCTTAATGTAAGGTCCTTAACCTGTATCATTGTCTGGAAAGGGCAGTCACATTATCAGAGATTACTAACCGAGGGAATGCTCTTTACTCCAGCAATAGGTGCTGAAGCGTTAACACTGCTTCCTCTCTCCACAGAAACTGCCAGACCTGCCGAGTTTCTCAGGCATTCTCTGGTTTTGTTTCTGGTTTCCAGCATGTGCACTGTTTAGCTTTGTAGCTGCTCTTTTTATTCTCTTGTTTAATGATGGAAAATAAATATTTTCTAATCAACCTGTTTACAGATGTTATTACACACCTCTGTAACTGGTAGGACTTGAATCCAGGCTTCCTGGCCTAGAGGTAGGGACATATCATAAGGCATAGGAGCAGAAATTATGCCATTCAGCCCATCGAGTCTGCTCCACCATTCAATCATGACTGATAAGTTTCTTATCAATTAGAGTCAATTTGCCAACCAGTCAGAGCCCTTTTTTCTCCCATAGTATAAACAGTTACTCTGAAATTTGGCTTTCTTGCATATGTCCTGATGAGTACAGCTTGTTAAGCATCACTCTCTTCACCAATAGAGATAGTAGGAACTGCCGATGCTGGAGAATCTGAGATAACAAGCTGTAGAGCTGGATGAACGCAGGCCAAGCAGCATCAGAGGAGCAGGAAAGTTGACGTTTCAGGTCTGGACCCTTCTTCAGACCTGAAACGTCAGCTTTCCTGCTCCTCTGATGCTGCCTGACCTGCTGTGTTCCTCCAGCTCTACACCTTGTTATCTCTCACTGTCTTCACCAAGGTCTGATTTCTGCAACTGATAGAGGATTACTTTAACAGCTGGTGGTTCTTTTTCATTTTACTTATGGGATGTGGGCGTTGCTGGCTGGGCCCAGCATTTATTGCCAGTCCCTAGTTGCCCCTTGAGAAGGTGGTGGTAAGCTGCCTTCTTGAACCGCTGCAGTCCCCATTCCTAGGCAAACCCACAATGCCCTGAGGGAGGGAATTCCAGGATTTGTTGATTCTGGTGCCTTAAGTCGATGCTGCAGACTGTCTGTTTTCATTTCACTGGGATTCTTGGCGGTTGATACAAATGTATCTTGCTTGGCCATTTCAGAGGGTAGTTAAGAGCTGACTACATTATTATCGGTCTGGAGTCACATGTAGGGCACAGCTGGTAAGGATGGCAGTTTCTCTTCCTTGATGAACCAGAAGGGTTTTTACTGCAATTGCCAGTGGTTTCACCATTACTGAGACTAGCTTTTACACTTGACCAGTTGGTGGGATTCGAGCCCATACATCCACAGCATTAGCTTGGGCCTCTGGATTGCAAGCCCAGTGATATTGCCACTATACCACCAGCTCCTCCTGCGTTCTTATCTACTCCAACACTCTCCGTGTGTACGTGAGAATTTGTTGTGCATGCCGTCAGTCCCCATGCTCGGGGCGCTATCAGGCCAGGATTCACCGTGCTGACTTCTTTCCTGCAGTTGCGATCACTGAAGCTTCTTCACTTGGCACAGCAGAGAATGGGGCATCCCGAGGCCAGTGTCACTCTGGCCCAGTTTGAAGACCTATCTCAGGCCCAGGGCAGTGAGAGTGGGGATGACAGTGATACAGAGGAAATGGAGAACAGTGAGCCGCTGGAAGATAGTGAACTGGAGCTCTCTGACAGCGGTACGTGCCACAGTGCTAATAACTGATAAGCTGCTACAAGAATTCTGTAGTGTCTTCCCTGGGGAGGGAGGTGGTAACGTTGCTGGACTGGTCATTCACAACAAAACCAAATTGCTGGAGAAACTCGACAGATCTGGCAGCATCTGTGAGAAAGCAGAGTTCTGATGAAGAGTTACTGGATTCAAAACAATAACTCTACTTTCTTCCCACAGGTGTTGCCAGGCCTGCTGAATTTCTCCAGCAATCTCTGATTCTGTTTCAGATCTGCAGCATCCACACTTCCTTGTTTTATTAGTAATCCACAATTCCAGGCTCATGTTCTAGGGACGTGGGTTTGAATTTCACTGTAGCAGATGGTGAAATTTGAATTCAATAAACATAGAACATAGAACATTACAGCGCAGTACAGGCCCTTCGGCCCT